GTTACGTCCTATACGCGACCCTGGTTATTATTTAATTTAATGACGACGATACTTTGATGGAAACTGGTAACTGATAGGATGACTCTTTAAATGATTCGACACCGACTTGGTTTCACTATTATAATATAACTTTAATATTATAAGTACAACTTTAATAATATGACTAAGTTCAACGCACGAATATCGACCCGACTGTCTCTCTATATGATTTTGATTCTTTCGACTGTTCTGGCTGGTTCGGCGATAGAGAGTGAGAATTGATCTCACGTTGCCTCGCAAGTCGACTTCTCAGAAATTTCCCGTACAATTAGATCGGTTATAATTCAATATGGTAAGTAGTTATACTATGATGATTCTAACCCAGGGGCAATGAGGGGGTGCGCGGGTGAAGAGGGGAAGGGGGTATCGGATAACAGTGGAGGGGGGTAATGACGTCATCATGTTTGGAGGAGAGGGGGTAAATGTGGAGTGGTAGGGGTATCAGATTACAATAATTTCCGGAAGAGATAAGGATTGTTAATACAAATTGTAGACATCGCGAGATAAGGATTCCCGGAAAAGATAAGGATTGTTTATTGGAAAGAGAACTGTTTACATCCTATGGTTTTTTTCTACACATCAAAGTAGAGCGCCATGTTGTCGGAATCATTATGTTTATAGTATGCAGGTTCGTGCAGATTTACGGATTGCGTCATCGCTGTATTTTAGAACAAAGAGGCAGCATTTGAGCGCCGTTTCTTAGAGGGTGTGATAATGATTGTTAATACAAATTGTAGGCATCGCCATGTTGCTAGATGCGTCATCGTGTTTGGAGGAGAGGAGGTTAATTTTGGAATGGTGGGAGGTATCAGATCACAATAATTCCCGGAAGAGATAAGATAAGGATTGTTAATGCAAATATGAATCATCGATAGTTTTAATCAATGTCGTGTGCAACAAGCGGGTATATAAAGCAAGTGAAAAAGAATAGGAACCATCAGTCGTTCGAAATCATTGAGAAAATCACTAGTTCGCTGTGACGTTTACAGCAACGATGTTTTGCACCATGTTAACCGTGAATAATCAGATCAACAACAGCAGAGTGCGAAGAAGCTGCAATTACCCAACGAGTATGTCG